CTCCAACCAAAAAGAGGCATAGAGCAGTCAGGATTATAATGCATTTCCAATATAAAGGGTTGGTATTAGTTATCATTGAATTTATGCTGCTAGAATATAGAAAACTGAATCAAGAACTATATTAACAGAAGAGCAACAAATCTATCCCATGTACCAGACCAAACTGGCCAGAATATATATAACAGAATTGAATAAGGCTCTTGCCAAGTAAACCTACGTTGATGAACTGGTGAATTCTAAGTTTTCATTTTGATTTTTTTAATCAAGGAAGAGTGCTTCAAATGCCACTTGTATTATTAAAATGTTATTTTGCTCTTACCGGGAGAATGATCAAATCATACGTTGACTTGGCTGCATCACCAATTAACTTGAAGGAAATGTAAGAAGATATAGGAAGTTGGAAATACTAAAATTGGAATTGTTGTTTTAAAACTATATTTTTGAATTACATTCCAAAATTTCATTTTGAATATCAGCTACAGCTTAAACCCGTCGGCTGTCCGATATCATAAAACTATGCTCTTTGAAATGCAAATGAGGAAAGTTGAACTAAGAAAAAAAAAAAAAAAAAAAAAAAAAAACAAAGTAAAAAGTCCAATTACCAATTTTATCTCTTGTGAAGAAGGGTTTAATAAGTGAATAACCATTTACGCCTCACTAATGCAAAATGCAAAAGGGAAATTAAAGGGTAAAATGGAAAATTTAGATGGGAAGAGGGATGTTGGGATTTAGGAACATGGGTTTAGGATAAAAGGTCACAATGCCCTTAAAATAGCTAATACAATATTAGAGCTCTATAAGGTCAAAACGGTAAATACAATGTCGAGTATGAAGATGACAATGCCCCTAAAATAACTAATACACTATTAGAGCTCTTCTATGAAGTCAAAATGGTAAACACAATGTGAAAAATAAAGTGAGAAAAAGAAACAAAATTAAGTGATAAGAGAGAAACAAGAAGAGATGACTCAAAACTTTTATATTTAGATTTAGGGTACGTTTGGTAGAGTTTTTTTTGGAATTTTTACTTTTGTATAATTATTTATACGTCATAAGTTTAAATTTTTATTGAATAAAGATTTAAAAATTACTTTTAGAAATAATAAAAAATAAATAAAAATAGACTTTATAAAAAGTAAATTTATAAAAATTAAAAGTTTAAGACTTTTCAAAATTTATTATTTAAGGTCTTTTTTAAATTAAAAAAATATAATTTTTTTAAAAAAATTAAAATTTATAAAATATAAATAATATTAAAGAGTTAAAACACTAACCAATTCCACCAAATACGCTATTAAATATCAACGTAGAGAAGTTGTTAACGGTTGCCGGTTGGTTTCATTGTACCCAGTTATTAGCATTGTAATATTGTTCTCTTTATCTGTCAATTTTTTTTAAAAATGTTATCATTATATTATAAATTTATAACATAATATATTATTATATAATTTATTTTTTTATTTAAAATTCATCCA